AACCACCCTCAACTACCGTTGCTCCCATCATGCCGCACCCCTCCTTTCTTCTTTCCCCCAATGCTCCTCTCTTCATTCCTACCTCTTCCACGTAAGATGAAATTAACAATCTCAAGAACAGTAGAGTTGTTATTGAAAGCAAATTGGATTTGCTCACTGGAAGTATTCATAAGTTTATTAGTTCCATTAGTGGTACTACCTCAGGACAAACTGATTCAGCTTCTTCCGTTTAATTTTCTTCCTTTTATTTTAGCTTCCTGACTGTTTTTATCATTGTGTTTTAATGTCAGACAATAATTTTAATTATGATACCTTTGTATGAAACCCTCCCAACCCTGATAATGTTACTGACTTTTTTTCACATGAATCCTTATTTTCTTCTCCCAGTAACACTTCCCCTATCCCTAATTCATTTACTATTTTCTCTTTTAATGTTAATGGCCTCAAGATGCATGGTCAAACTAAAATAGAACAAATTTCTTCTTTTTTTTCCCTTAAACATATTTCTTTTGGTGGTATCGTTGATACCCATCTCCACCCTAAACAAATGAAGTTTTTATCCAAACGAATTTCTCATTATACTGTTTTCTCTTCTGATTTGGATACTTCCAAACAAATTCTTTCCTCTGGTGGTGTTTCTCTTTTTATTGAAAATCCTATCGCTTCTCATGTTCAAGATTTTAAATTTCATTCTTCGCGTTTGCTCTCTGTTGATTTATATTTTAAAGGCAACATGAAATTACGCATTTTTGTTGTTTATATTTCCCCTCCTGCTGAAAGTGCTGTGCGCTCTGACACTATTGATTTGCTCATCCAACAACTTGTTTTTACTAAACAAGCTGGTTTTTATCATGCTGTTTGTGGTGATTTTAATATGCATTTAGACAAATATTACCCTGTTTACTTTAATCAACCTCAAATTACTTCTAAGCATATTCACCGATTGCTTTATCATCTCCTTTCTCATGGATATGAAAACTATATTCCTATTAATCTTTTCAATTCCTTAGGTACCTTTCATCGCAATGACCAAATTACACGTGTTGACTATGTATGGTCTTGCCCTCTTCTCAAAGGATTTGCTCTTACTGCCTGCATCTTTGATGCTCATGACATTTGCACATCTGATCATAATCCTGTTATCACATATTATGATATGTCTTTACTATTCGCTTTCACCAAATTGGCTCGCGCTTGACAACTTAAACGCCAAACCTGTCGTGTCTTCAAATTCGATTCTATTACTGATTCCCAATGGACAGAATTCACTGACAAAGCTGCCATTTTATGTGACGTCTCACCAGGACCCCGAAGAATACATATAATACTGGGATCCAATTTTGTATAAACTTACTATGTAATTTCTTAATAAGTCATATATTTGAAATTGTATAACCAAATAGCAGTTACGCAAAAAGTCAGATTTTTATTTGTATAACAATAATGATTTTTACAATAAGTAAGATTTTCATTTTGTATAACGGATATTAGAATTTTTTTTTATATACGTTTAAAATTTTTTAAAGTTTTTTTTTATTTTTTGTTTAAGAAATTTTTAAGATATTTTTTAATAAAGAGTTTTTTTATTTGTTTTAAAAAACACTTGAAATATTTTTTAATAGAAATTGTTTTTTGTTTAAGAAGTTTTTAAGGGTTCGTTTAAAGACATTTTTTTAATAAAAATGAAGAAATTTTTTTAAAATTCATTTACAAAATTAAAAAAAATACATTTTATTATATATCTCAGCATCCAGTGATCATAGAGAAATGAAACACAGCTTATTAGATTCGTCTCAATACGACGAGTCGAATGGTGGTAGTTTCATATTTCTAGGCGCGATAGATGCCGAGTTATGTGATAAAATGTAAAAATGCACAGTAGACGAAAATACAAAGTGCCGATGTGTGGTATAGCTCATCATCTATCACACCTAGAAACACGAAACTACTACCATTCGATTCGTCTTGTCAAGACGAATCCAACGAGCTGTGTTTCATCTTTTTACGATCACTGGGTGGTGAGATATATAACAAAATGTATTTTCTTTTATTTTATAGTATACACCCAAATTTTTGCATAAAACTTACTATATTATACATATTGGGCATCAATATCTATCGGGTATTTAAAATTTTAACATGCAATTTTGTTTAAAAATTTTATTTAAGTTAATAATATTTATTTGAAATTTTTCTTTAAAAATTTTTTTTTTATATAAACTCAGATTTATAATTGTATAATTTATAATAAAATTTGAACTTATGTGATGATTTTGTATAAAGCTTCTAATAAAATTAGGCATATAAAGTTATATTAAAATTTTGGGTCTGGATCTGAGTTGTATATGTATTCTTCGGGGTCCTGTCTCACCTTCAATCTTTTCCTCCTGGCATATCAATCAAATGTACGAATATCTCCAATTACGTATCTTTAAAGCTGCCAAAGCCTTTTACAGTTGGTAACAATTACACTCCCAAGATCCCCAAGGAACTGGAAACATTAACTCAACATTATCGGTTTTTAAATTGCCTAACGCATTCAATACGTCTTTTGCACAAATATCCTTTAACCTACTCTGTTGTTCATGAACATAAGTGGTCTATTCATTTGATTAGACTTCAAAATATTTTTCATTTATATAAGAAAGTGTTTACTTTCACTCCCATTGTTCCTTCATCTTTTTCATCATGTCAACAAGACGATTTTAAATCACTTCTTGATATTTTATCCATTATTTCAAAATCCCTACAGGATTGTATCTGTTTCAAGAAAAAGAATTTCAAGACTCTTCCATTCGTGCTTGTTTGGATGATAGAAATAATAATTTCAATACTGACCTTTCTGTTTTCATCGATTCAGCGCTTTCTCACACTCGTCATCGCATCATCTATCTTGGACCGTGTATTCCTTGACCATCCTACCCGGCCTCAACTATTAACTGATCCTAAGGACATAGATGATGCTGTTGTTGACCATTTCCAAAACTTTGTGCCTATAAAGTCTACTCCTTCTAACTCTACCAATGCATTGCCAGATAGATGGTCTTCTGCTTATCAACCCTTGAATGATATGCCCTCCTCCGTCCATCTATGATTCTTTAATGAATCTCCCTACCCTTGAAGAATGGTTATCTACAGTATCTTCCACTCCTAACGATAAAGCTCCTGGTTCTTCCATGATTACTTATGAAATGCTCAAACATCTTGGACCTCGTACCTCAGTTTTACTCCTTATTTTAATTTAATCTTACCTTTCCGCAGCTGATATACCCAATTTATGGCGATAAGTAATGGTCTTTCCATTCCTAAACCTCATGAATAGAAGTGTTAATTAAAAAACACCCATTCTATCACCTTACTTGAAGTGATTAGAAAATCTCTTGTCAAACTTTTTTATAATCGCCTTTCCTATCCTGGCTTCACATGATATTTTAAAAGGTGGTAATTTCGCTGGTCTACTTGGTAGTTCTTGCCGTGACCCTATCATCACTCTAGAATCAATTATCCATGATGCCAATATCAATAAGAAATCACTTTGGATTCTTTCTCAAGACATTTCCAAAGCTTTCAACTCGGTCAACTTAACAATGTTACGTTTCACTTTTGAACGTATACGCCTCCCTGCTTCTGCAATCAAATTTATCCTTTCACTCTTCATGAAATGCACTAATAGTGTTTTCACTGCTCATGGATTTACTCCTGCTTATAGGGTTCGCATTGGTATTGACCAAGGCGAAATTATCTCTCCTCTTTTATGGGTTATTTATATTGACCCTTTACTTACCATTTTGAAAAATGAAATGATTGATTCTTATGTTCTTTTCACATCTTCTTTAATCGCTTCTCATGTATCTTTCCCTAATTTGCGTATCAATAATTTAGTATTTATGGATGACTCTACTCTTATTTTCTCGTCAAAAGCTGGCATGGAATCTATGTTATCCATTACAGAAGAATTTTATCAAATTAATAATACTTCTGCTAACCACAACAAATATGTGTTAATTACCAACTCGTTACCTTTAACTTCAAATTCTACTCCTTCCCCTGTTACCTTTAACTTGGAATTATCCTCCTTAAATAGAGTTCCTTCTATTTCTATTATTCCTATTTCTATGACGACTTCTTTTTGTTTCTTAGGTGTTTGGTTTAACATTAAAAGTTTCTGAGATTTTGTCAAGAAACAACTTAAACGTAAATGTAACTCTTTCGCTGCGACCATCTGACCTGCAAAGCTCTCTGCCAAACAAGTTGTGTATTTACACAATGCCGTTCTTATACTAAAACTCGAATATCTGATGCAAGTTACCCACCTATCGTAATCTGACTGTCACCTGATAACGAGAAGTATTATAATATTTAAAAAAGTGTATCACTGGTCAGAATAGTCCATTTCGGCAAAATTTTAAATTGCCGAATATTGGACGAAATTCGGTCTGACCTTAGCCGATCAGTACCAAAAAAATTGGCAACTAATTTTATAGGCGATTTGTACCGTAATGCCTGCCACTTGTCAACAAATCGATCAGTAGAAATTGGCAACAAATCGGTAAAATCAAATTGACGATTGTTAATAAACCTAATAATTTATTACCAATTTTTGTACATTTAACTGATATTTTATAATAAGGTAAATACTTCAAATAACGGGCAGTTAAGATCACTGGTGTCACGTGATGACAATATATTGATTTGTTATTATTAAATTTCATGTTTATTGGTCAAAATTAGTAATAATTAACGTAAAGTGGCTATCGCATTATCTAATTTTAGTAACACGTTTTGATGTATTGTTCTATGTTTATTGTATAAAGTGTGGCTTATATTTTCTTTACTCTTTCGTTAAACACCTCTCTGAGACTCTCTCGTTAAACACTTCTAACCTTTCATAAATACTTCCTACATAATTTTAATCCTAAACACTCTTTACACGTATTTGTTTTATATTTTTCATTGTTATAATAAGTATGATGAATGAAAATAAATATAATGAACTACATATGTCTGACGTTCTCCTAAGTGAACAACAACAACTAAACAATAAAAATCATAGTTCTACTCTAATAGAAGGTACAATAACAAATGAATCTATTGGTGAATCTATTGGTGATATTAAAGTTGGTGATTCTTTTTCTATATGGGAGGATGCAGAAATAAAGCTTAATCAATATGCGAAGTTTGCTGGGTTCTCTTTAAGAAGAAAGCGTGTTGAAGCTGATAAAGATGGAGTTGTATGGTGTAGAACATTTGAATGTAGCTTTTCTGGTAAACCAGTTTCTAATCAAGTTATTGATATAACTCATCAACGAGAAAGAGCATCTAAAAAAATTATGTGTCCTTAGCACATAAATCTTACCAAACCCAAGTCATCAATGGAGATAAGTATTACAAGTATCATTGGACAACACAACCATTCCATGATAGCTGATGCACAATTGTATATTCCTAAGTATCGTAGGTTATCAGATGATGTAATAGAAAAGATCAATTTTTATGTTACTAAAGGAAACATGGGTGCAAAACAAATATATCCATTGTTAGTTGCAGGTTTTCCTGATCAATATATTCATAAAAGGGATCTATATAATATGATTCAAAAGTTTAAATCACCACTTACCAATCGGTATGGAGATGCACAAAATATGATTAATAAATTATTTGAGCTAAAAGACCAAGAACCTGGATGGATTATTCATACAAGACTTGATCCTTTTGATAATCGGCTTGTAGGGTTGTTTTGGATGTCATCTAGTCAGCATCAATGTCTTTTACAATACAATGATGTTATACAAACAGATAATATATGTCAAACAAATTGGTTTGATATGTATTTAACTTTCTTAGTTGTAATTGATAATAATACCAAAAGTCGTCTTATTGCTCAATGTCTATCAGAAGATGAAACAATTGAAAGTTATGAATGGTTTCTTGATTGTTTCCTTCAAGCAACTAATGATAATCCACCTGTCTGTTTATTTTCAGATGCAGACCCTGCTTTAACAAATGCTATTGCGTCAAAATTACCTAGAACTCATCATTTTCTTTGTATCTTTCACATACAAGAAAATTTACGAAAAAATTTAGCAGGTAAATTAGGAAAAGAATATCAAACATTTTATAAGGAATTTTTACATACCAGAAACAGTTTATTTTTGGATGATTTTTCTCATCGTTGGACACGTTTACTTGAAAAATACCCTCAAACTCAAGAGTATTTCAATAGGACTTTGAATAATTGTTGCCAAGCATGGGCAAAATGCTACCAAGTCAAGCATTTTATGGCTGGTATTCAAAGTACACAAAGAGTTGAAGTTATGAATCGTCTAATTAAAGAAGGCACTAGTAGTATTTCGTCATTATGTAATTTACATGAACAAATTCAAAAGTTATTAGATAATGAAGCACAGTGGTCTCGACATAATGCATATCTTCAAAGTCTTCCTACTAATCAAACACCATCAATTATTGAACCTATATTTCCTAAGATTGTTGAACTAATGAAAAAATATTTAACGCCACATATCTTATCAGTTCAACAGTAACAAATTCTTGGTTCTTTATTATATCGTGCTAAAACTATTTCTAAAGATTTGATTAGTACAATAAAGGTGAGAATTTAATTATGTATTGTTTTTATTTAAAGTCTGGAAAGTAAAACTTAACGCTAAAAACAAAAAAACTGAGCGTGTGAAATTATAGTTCGTTACATCACATGATTGAAATTAATTAATTGGTTTGAATTTCTTAAATAGGATGACGATCAATGCAATTATAATGAAGGATTTATTGAGGATTAACTGGATAGGCCGCAGACTACTCTCTTTTCTTTGTTAGAAGAAATACAACTAATTGATGTTATAGAAATCTGGGAACTTTATGGCCTTACCAAATCTTATAAGCATTATGTTATTTTATTAGCAGATGGTGGCCATTTATGCACTTGTTTGGCCATAATAAACTGTGGACTTGTATGTTCACATTTTTTTCAAGTCATGATGAATTCTAAGGTGGCAAAATTCAATATCGGTCTTATTTTCAAGCGATGGTATATGGAAAATATGCAAGATCAATGTATTCAGACAATACAAGATGAAAGTATTGGAGTTGTAACACAATTCCAACAAAATAACAATGAAGAAATTTTAATAGCTGATTTACACATCTTTAATCAGCTTAGAATACCTGACACATTTACAACTAATATTAAACAATGTTTACAAAGAAAAGTCAAGTATGCATATGGATTTGGAAAGATGAAAAAAGCTCTTAACTTAGCACTTGATTTAGGTTGTGAAGATGAAATTATAAATATGATTAATAGGTTTATTGATCAGAAGAAAAAACCAATAAATGATACAAATAATGAAAATGAAAATGTACAGATTTTGGATCCTGTAGTTCAGAAACGACGTGGTCATCCACCAAACAAGCGTATTAAATCAGCAACTAAATCTAATTCATATCATGTTAATACAAAGAATAGTGCAATAAATCCATCTGATCCTAATCTATATGTTAGTGAAATACGAAATCAGCAAGCATCTTCGACTTCATCAAGAATTCCTTTTAATGCAATCGATACTAATACTGACGATCAAAGATATGAAAGAAAAGTTTATATATGTAAAATTTGTAAACAAAAAGGTCATAATGCTAGAACATGTAGCAAACAACATCAATAGGTAAATAGAAATACATTATAGTATTGTTGTTTCAGTAATAGTGTTGCTTGTCTTATAAGTTTTTTTAAAAAAATAAAATACTGTAAATTTTCGTCGGCGTCACGTGATCTATTAACATCATGTGACACCGGTAATGTTAACCACCGGTTATGGTTATAAAAATTCTTATAATAATTTATTAATTAAATTTTATTAATTTGTTTATTAAAAATTACATATTAAATTAATATCTATCTATCATCTATATACACCATCTACCGTCCACCATTCATCATCCATCATTCTCACCTAATCTGATAAAAGTCTGTAGAAAACCTACAAAAAAAAGGAGGAAACAGTTAGTAACCTATTTTTTAAATAAAAAAGTTGAAGTTTCAAAAGAAACTTACCCGATCTAATAAAATCCGAAGGGAAAACCTACAAAAAAAAGTAAAGAAACAATTAGTTCGTTTCTTTAATAAAAAAATAAAGTTTTGAAAAATTTGAAACTTACCCGCCCATCTAATAAAGTCCGAAAGAGGAATCTACAAAAAAAAAGAAGAAACAATTAGTTTAATGTTTCTTCGATAAAAAAAAATCAAAGTTTTGAAATATATTCGAAACTTACCCCTTACCCTTAATTCGTTAATGGAAATCTACAAAAAAAAAATAAAGAAAATGGTTAGTCCGTTTCTTTAAAAATAATAAAAAATAAAGTTTCGAAACACATCGAAACTTACATGTCTATTTCTCAATAATAGTACGAAGAAGAACCTACAAAAAAAATAAAGAAACGGTTAGTAAACCGATTCTTTAATAAAAAAAATTTTAGTTTCGAAATATTTCGAAACTTACCTAACCAAAAATTCGAAGTGGAAATCTACAAAAAAAAAGAAGAACGATTAGTTAAAGTTTCTTCAAAAAAAAATAATTTCGAAATATAAAACTTACCCGATCTGTTAAATATAAGTTTGAAGTGGAAACCTACAAAAAAAGGAAAGAAATGATTAGTTTTTTATTAAAAAAGTTTCGAAAAAAAAGTGAAATTTTGAAACTCACCTATCCAAAGCCCAATAACCGAAAGCCGAAATCTACAAAATAGGAAAAAGAAATAATTAAAAAAATGTTTTTTTTTTAAAGTTTCAAAGTTTTATTTCGAAACTTACCCATATATCCAAAGCCCAAGAACCGAAAGTCAAACTTACAAAATAGAAAAATAAAATTAAAATAAATTTAAAAAAAAAAATATTTTTTTTTAAAAAAAAGCTTCGAAGTTTTCACTTCGAAACTCATCCATATATCCAAAATCCATGAACCGAAATCTATAAAATAGAAAAAAGAAACAGTTAAAAAAATATTTCTTTTAAAAAGTTTCAAAGATTTTACTCCGAAACTCACCCGTATATTCAACACCCAAGAACCAAAGGCCAAACCTACAAATAAAAGAAAAAAAATTAAAATATTTTTTTAAAAAAAAGTTTCGAAGTTTCACTTCAAAACCCACCTATATATCCAATGCCCAAGAACCGAAAGAAATCTACAAAATAGAAGAAAGATACAATAAAAAAAAAATTTTGTTTAAAAAAGTATAAAGATTCGTACTTACGAATCTTTGGGTATTCTGTTCTTCGGAATCCCACCTGAGACACCCGAGACCTAAAAAAAAAATAGAAAAAGAACGGTTAGAAACCATTCATAATATTAAAAATAAAAAATAAAAAATCAAGATTCATAGTTACTTACGAATCTTGATTTTTTGTTGTTCTTCGGAACTCGAAAGCCCACCGAACCTAAAAAAAAATAAAGAAAAGAACGGTTATTAGTAACCGTTCATTAATAAAATTAAAAAAATAAACAAAAAAATAAACCAAGATTCGTATATACTTATGAATCTTGGTTCTTTTCCGATCTTCGGAATTTGGAAGTCCACTGAACCTAAAAAAAAGAATGAACAGTTATTAGTAACCGTTCGTTAATATAATTAAAAAAAACAAAATAAAAAACTAAGATTCGTATATAATATACTTACGAATCTTGGTTTTTTTCATTCTTCGGAACTCGGAAGCCCCTCCTGACACTGAACCTATAAAAAATAAATGAAAAAGAACGGTTAATAACCGTTCATAATATTAAAAATTAAACAAAAAAAAAAAATAACCAAGTTTTGAACTTACGAAACTTGGTTTTTTCCATTCTTCAGAAGCCCACCCGAGTGCCGAACCTAAAAAAAAAAGTAAAAAAGAATGGTTAGTATTAACCGTTCATATTTTATTAAAAAAAAACAAAAAAAAATCCAAAGAATTCGTACTTACGAATCTTTGGATTTCTTGTACTTCGGAAGCCCACCCGAGTGCCAAACCTAAAAAAAAAGTAAAAAAGAACGGTTAGTATTAACCATTCATATTTTATTAAAAAAAAATAAAAAAAATCCAAAGAACTTACGAATTCTTTGGATTTCCAATCTTCAGAAGCCCAACTGAGTGCTGAACCTAAAAAAAAAGAAGTAAAAAAGAATATATTTTATTAAAAAAAAAGGGACGAAAGGAAGTGAAAGGGGAAAGGGGAAGGAGGAAGGAAGGGAAAAGGGAAGAAAGGGAAGAAAGGGAAAGGAGAACGAAGGAAGGGAAAGGAGAAGAAGGAAAAGGAGAGGGAAAGGAAGAAATTAAAAAAGTTTAAAAAAGGATGCATAAGAAATCCTTTTTTAAACTTTTAATACGCGTATCGCATAATGTGTAACATTTAATTAGTAACATATAGAGCTCCGCACGGGTCGGGTCGGGTCGGGTAATTTGTCTGACCTGAACCGAAAAATTTTTATCAGGTCGGGTCGGGTCGGGTAACCTGCTCTGACCCGACCTGACCCGTCTGACCTGAAAGTATTCAGGTCATTTTTCTATAAAATAATATGAAAAAATGCCATTTTGGCGATTTTTTTCATAAAAGAAGTGGAAAAAAATGCTGTTTCAGCATTTTTCCATTAAATAATATGAAAAAACGCCGCTTTGGCGATTTTTTTCATAAAAGAAGTGGGGAAAAATGCCGTTTCGGCATTTTTCCATTAAATAATATGAAAAAACGCCGTTTTGGCGATTTTTTTCATAAAAGAAGTGGGGAAAAATGCCGTTTCAGCATTTTTCCATAAAATAATATGAAAAAACGCCGTTTTGGCGATTTTTTTTCATAAAAGAAGTGAAAAAAAATGCCGAAACGGCATTTTTCCATAAAATAATATGAAAAAACGCCATTTTGGCAATTTTTTTCATAAAAGAAGTGAAAAAAATGCCGAAACGGCATTTTTCCATAAAATAAAATGAAAAACGCCATTTCGGCGTATTTGTTTATAAAAAACAATGCCGAAACGGCGTTTTTTTCATAAGGTAACATGAAAAAACGCCGTTTCAGAGTATAAACATTTTTTTTGAGCTAAAGTATTCAGGTTAACAGGTCAATCGGGTCGGGTCAAACCTGTAACCCGACCTGATACCAGGTCACGAATTTGACAACCTGACCTGAATATTTCGGGTCAACCCGACGGGTCACCCGAATTGACCCTTACCCGTGCGGAGCTCTAGTAACATAATTCAATCATAGATCATCGAATATAGGCCAATTTGTATTAAGGCCAAATATTCCAAGTCGATCGTGTTGTTAATAAAAAAATCGACCAGTTGATTTATACCAAATTTTTTCTGATTTTTGTAATTAATCGAATGTGTGACGAATCATGTGATCGATTTGCCAAATTATTGCCGAAAGGTCTTATTGACGAAATAAATGATTTCGACCAGTGCATATAACAATCGGTATAAGTCGATTTTTCACCAAAAGACTGAATGAGTTTTCGTTTAACAATCAGTATCAGTCGATTTGTGATTGATTTTACCGATTTTTGCCGTTGGTCAAAAAATGTGACGAATCACATGACCAATCGGCAAAAATTATGCCAAAAGCTCTTAACGGTCGAAAGTTTTGATTTCGACCAGTGTATAGAATTTGAGAAATGCCCATCTCTAGCTTTTATAATTGAAGGCAAAAAGCCATTGTTTAATTGAAGAAAATCTATGGCTTCTTTTGCACGAGATGGCTCACAACAACTTGGATTTGTGTATCGTTTAATATCAAGAGAATATTGGCATAAGTTACAATGATTTTCAACCCATGATCACGACACAAAACATTCTGTTGAATTATTTTCGTTCTCTTGGTTCTTTTTTTTTTGTTATTCTGCATTTTCCTTATCTGTACCTTCAAAATGCAGGTCTTCAAACGGATTAACAAGCTCTTCAACATATTATGCATCTACACTTCTTCCAAAAATCAAGTCATGACGCCAAATATCACAAAGTGCCTTTCCGGCATATTTAAAGTTTTGAAGAGCCAATTCTGGATTGATGACTTTTTCTTGCGTATTTAAGTGTGTCCTAAAATGATCAATTGGTAGTGTGATACCTGCCAATTTTCCAGATAGTGTCGCCATACCCCTCTCAACAGGATTGTACTTGGATTGTCCTGGAGCATGTGTTTGTACAGTCAAGTAATCTAAATTAAATTTTTGAAAAAGTTGGCAATATACAGTCAACTCTCTTTATAATCACACATTTGGGACAGTCCATATTTGGTGATTATAAAGAGATGTGACTATATAAAAAATTTCTTATATTAGTATATAATAATTCCGGCCAAAAATTAACATAATTTTGGCCATAATTATACTTAAAACTTTATTGTATCGTAACTCAGCCAATATTAATCGTAGAGAGATGATCTTACCGCCATTCGATTCGTCTCGATAAGACGGTTCTAATGGTATAATATACATCAAAATTCAATTACTAGATTAATTTCTGAAGTTAAAAAAATATTAATGGTTTTTGTGTAATAACTCTGCCAATATTGATCCTAGAGAGACGATCTTACTACCATTCGATTCGTCTTGATGCGACAAATCTAATGGTATAAAAT